AATCATACAGTCCCTACCATAGCTTTCCAGTCTATCCTTAAGACTCACCTCTACTGTTAGGCCTAGAATACTGTGCCTGCCTGATTAGGGTTAGTAATCAGCAGGGCTCGACAATTTAGGTAATCTGTTCGCCACAGGCAAGTACATTATAGCCCAGCATGGCACTGCAGCGCGATCAGCGCATGTGTAGCATGGTCTGTGCATGTGCAGCATGCTGAACAGCTTTCCAGTCTATCCTTAAGACTCACCTCTACTGTTAGGCCTAGAATACTGTGCCTGCCTGATTAGGGTTAGTAATCAGCAGGGCTCGACAATTTAGGTAATCTGTTCGCCACAGGCAAGTACATTATAGCCCAGCATGGCACTGCAGCGCGATCAGCGCATGTGTAGCATGGTCTGTGCATGTGCAGCATGCTGAACCCTTGCTGAGCCCTGGTGATCAGTACTAACATCCCCTTTCTTCCATTCTTCATCCTACAGCTCTCACTTGGAAAATATACAACAAAAGATGTAATTAAAAAAAACCTGCCAATAATAACCAAATTTATGATTATATGTATTTACCACTGTCCACAACTCAGTTCTCTAGTAGATTACAAACTCTTGGAGGCAGGATTGTCTTGTATGTTTGTACAGTGCCAAGCATAAAAAGATTAAATTCTGATACATTTGGGCACAACTATAATGTTTTCCCTTCTCTTATTTCTGTATTCTCTGCAGCGCTTACTTTATGTGCTTCAAACTGATCAATTGAAATTTTCTAGATGTAAGTAGGAACTTTGGGGTTACTTTGAAGTAAATTGTTAACAGAACCAAGAGAAACCTTGGGTTTGCTTATATGGTGATATCCAGGAAAATGAATCCAAAATTAACAAGGTATGAATTAGAAGTGGCTTTCTTAAGCCACATTAAAGCCTTATGTGACCACCGTCATTCTGAATTAAAATGGCTGTAATTCAGTTTAGCTTCATTTACGTCAAAAGTGAATTAAACTAAACCAAACTTAAGGACACTTCAATTGTAATTAAATCCTTGTGGGACCTTGTTAATGTGGTTTAAAAACTCCACCTCAAATAATTCTGTTAGATAGGCAATGTCTACACTGCCACTTGGCTGCATTGCAACTTTCTTGCTCAGAGGTGTAGAAAAATCCTCCTGATCGTGGCAAGTTAAAGTGTTTAGTATAAATGAACTCCACATGCTGTGAGCTGCTCCCCTTCTTTTGGTGGTTTATTATAGAGCACTGGGAGAACTCTCTCCAAGTGCTTCTGCTGTGGTCTGGCTTTCACTTTGAAGTGCAGCTGTGGCAGTGCTTTCATGTTTTAAGTGTAGATTTAGGCCTTGTCTTCGCAAGCAAGTTTTGTCACCGAAAAACCCTTTTTGTCAACAAAACCCAGAGAGCATTCACATTGCAACACGACAAAAGTCACAACAAGCCCTGAGTTTTGGCAACAAAAAACATCTAGCTACATGAAGGACTTTGCTCTTCCTCCTCCCTTCACTGTTGACAGTCATGCAATGTGTACTACAGTGGGGATGTACAATCCCGTTTAATCAGTTGAACATTAGGTTTAACTGGTTAACCACTTAAATGAGAGTGAGTGGGGCACTAGAGTTTGTTTCTTTTGAGTTTATTGAATTCCACCATGTTTCCCATAGTGCCCAATTAGCCTCTCTGACAAGCACTTTACATGACTGCAGAGCAGCAGAGTTCAAACAGATGTGTCCCTCCAACCCAGGACAATTAAAATCCATTTCCTAGTGTCTGGCTCATTGTGTAGTGGTCCTCATGGTGTCTTCTCAGGGAAACAGAGGTGGATCTTGTGCATTATGCTTTCCTGCTTGTAGCACTGCAGAGCTTTCCTGCTTGTAGCACTGCAGAGTGTGCGGGGTGAAGAATTTGTTCAACTGTAGCTGTGAGTGACTTGTAGGAACTAGGACACATTTGTGTGATACAGCCCATGCCAATCGCTCTGCCCTCTGTGGAAGCCTATAATATTCCTTGGATCATGGGAATGCCTCTCTTTCAGGATAAGTAATGGGATGAGGGAAGGAAGCAATGCCAACACACAGAAATGTCAGCTCCCTTCATTGTCAAAGTGGTTCCTCAGAGCTTTGCTGATATTAATGGCCATCCTATGGGTTCCTCTGACATCATGAGTGTCTGGCTGTTTAAACTGTGTCCAGGCACTGTCTCTCATTGTTCCACCCATGGGCAAATACTGTACTCTTAGTCTCACACCAAATATGTAAGTAACAGCATGCAGTCACCGCCTTGGGGATATGATCCTCCAAAAGACCCAGCCTGCCATAGAGACACCCCCATCTCCTTTTCAATCTGTCAAAGGCACGTTCAGCAATCATGCGACATTGTCTTAGGGACTGTTACTGAACTGCTCCTTAGTGCTGCCCAGGTGCCCTGTGTAAGGCTTCATGAGTTAAGGCTGTAAGGGGTCAATACGGGCATTTTCACAGCTTCTGCAAAGAGCACTGTTCCTGAAGATGTGTGCATCTTGTATCTTTCCAGACTACTCTGCATTTATGTCCATCAAACGCTCATGGTGATCCACAGGTGCCTGAAGCACCATGGGAGAAGAAGTACCCTTTCCGGTTAATATACTCTGCGGCAAGGTGGGGTGGTGCTATAATGGGGATATCAGTTGCCCCACCATGGTTGGTAAAGCTCATTTCAGCAACACCAGTCATTGGGTCATCCACAGTTTCCAGAGTCACTGTCGTACGTAGCAAAATATGATTTATTGCCCTGCACGCTTGCATAAGAACTAGCCCAACAGTAGACTTCTCCACTCTAAACTGATTTGCACCTTGAACGGTAGTAGTCGGGAGTTGCCCACTTCCACAAAGCAATGAGAGCAGTTGTCATTTGGCTGTCCTTGCGCTGCAGTTCAGGAGCGAGCTCAGCGCACAGCTCCAGGAAGGTTGATTTACGCATCTGAAAGTTCAGTAGCGTCTGGTCTTCCTCCCACACCTGCATCATAACACTATTCCACCATTCATTGTTAGTTTCGCTAATCCAAAACCAGCGCTCTACTTTGCATTACTGCTCTGTCAGAGCCCAATGCAATGCCACTTCGCTGCTGTTCTTGTCTCTCACATTGTTGTCTGCATCTGAGTCTTTGTCCTCTGCTATTAAGTGCATAAGTAGCTCTGCTGCAATGCAGATTGTCCTAAGAACATTGAATGTAACATGGGAGAGAAGTCTGGGATGCATTATTTTTTCACAGCAGATGCTGGAATTTGGAGCAAGGACTGTGGTGTGAAAGTGATCTGGAATTCCCAGGAGGGATTGGGAAGAAAAGAGGTGGTTGATGGGATGTTTTTCATGTTCCAAAATGCCTAGTGCTATGTTGTGTGTTCCCACATTGCTTATTGACTGAAGTTAATGCCAAATTTGGGATACTTACCCACATTGCTTTTTCTGTAGATAGGGGAGTTAACAGTGTGGCTGTGAGATGTTGACAAAGGGATGGCAGAAAAATAGGTTTGGTGTCTTTTGCATGTTGACAACACTTCTTTTGCCAAATGTTTCCAGTGTATACATAGCCTTAGCCTTAATTTGGATTAAGTTTTCTGATGTCCTCATGGGGAAAAGCCTTTTGTTTCTGCCCTCTTTCCTACCCAATATCAATGACATAGTAACATTGTGGTGAGAGAAAATAAATTGTCCTAAGATTAGTATCCATTTTCAGAAACTGTTGGAGGGTGTCAGGGGGTAGAAATAATCTTTTCCACAGTTTGTTCTTTTGAGTATTACTGTTGTGCGTGTGGTATGTAGGCTCTAGCTACACTTTACCTTAAGCCGACCTTCTGGGTCTAGTGCAGCCCTGCCCAAAAAAACCCCAGAAGCACAATGAAAGGTTTCTTTCACCATCTAACCTTATTGTTAATGTCTGGTTGAGGAGCTCAGATGGTTCTGGGATAAGATGCAGTTTCCCCTGTACCACAGGCTTTCAACAGCTTCTCTCTCAAATTTTGCTATTACAAATTAGCTGCCTGATAAAGCAGTTTTTAGCTCATGTTAATCTACTGTTATCATTCCATCCGGATCTTCTTATGCAGTTTAGACAGGATCAGCAGATTCAGGGCTTTTGTTGTGAGGGTTTTTTTTTTCCTCTCAAAAATGAAAACCAGTTTTACTGTGGAACTATCAGATTTTTTTTGCAAAAGAAGTGGTTTCATCCTTTCTTTGCATTAGTGTTCTTTGTCCTATTCTAAATCTTTTTTTAAAGACATTGACTTAAATCATATTAGTAAATATTTTTTACCTGTCACTAATACGTGAACATATTAAATTCAAATTCACTTTTCATATTTACTTAAAGCTTTTTCTCTGAAATTGAACAATGAATTAAAAAGTATAGAAAAACATTTTGTTAAATTTTATAAAGCGTGTGTGAACAAAATTTTAAATTTCAAGCTAAATTTACATGGTGTCCAATCAGATAACTGCATTAGATAAAAGCTGTCTGATTCTGGATCTGGTATGCATAGGTTCTATTACCAAAAATGTGTATATATGTATATGCATGTACATATATATATATAATAAATGGATATTTATCTAGGGAAGAAGTACATCAGTATCCTTTTGTGGTATTCTTTAAGTTTAATGAGCTTTCTACTGAAATGAGTGGAACAGTTGGACTGTAAGAGAGATGTTGGGGAAAGATCATAAGTAAAATAGGACTTACAGCCTCCTGACCTTTTCCTAAGTAATTCCTTTAACAGTGTCAGCTTGTGAAACGTAGCAGAGCAGTTGTGTCACAGCTGATGTGCGGCATGGTTGTGGCTCCAAGTATATTATCTGGAAAGTGGTTGCATACTGATAAAATTTAATGTTATTAAAGTCTTGATTCTTTCTATAGGCATTGTCACTAGATTTAATATTAATAGAAATGTAGCCGTGTTAGTCTGGTGTAGCTGCATTTTAGTTTTAATATGTATGCACACATTTTATATAACCTCTTTTCCTCTTCTAGGATCCTTCGGTTACACAAGTGACAAGAAATGTTCCACCTGGATTAGATGAGTACAATCCTTTCTCAGATTCCAGAACAGTAAGCATATACGTTTATTTCTTTAAGATGCTCTTCCTTTTTTTGATGAGAGTTCTGAAAACGGAAAGTGTGGAAGTTGCACTGTTAAGGACATGAAGGACTAATGAGGAAAACAGAAAATATATAATGGAGGGAGGTCTTTAATAGCATGTAACATGTCATGTGAATGGACTTTAGTGATACTTAAGCCTATGACTTGTGGCTGGCTTGCCTTATCATGGCTACACAAAAATTACTTGGAAAAGAATCAGTGCATGTGCATGTATGTGGGCACAGCTGCACAAAATTTGCTTGATATTGTTGAAATTTAAAAATAGTAATTTACAATTAGTCATAAACAGCAACTTAATTAATGGAGATTGCCTATCTCCTAGAACTGGAAGGGACCTTGAAAGGTCATTGAGTCCAGTCCCCTGCCTTCACAGCAGGACCAAGTACCATCCCTGACACATTTTTGCCCCAAATCCCTAAATGGCCTCCACAAGGATGGAACTCACAACCACAGGTTTAGCAGGCTAACGCTCAAACCACTGAGCTATCCCTCCCCCCTTGAAAATACTATTTAAAGGACATTCTGTGACGATGACTTTGTACTAATCTTTTGGTCAGAGGTTAAAATTTACTTGAATTGTAAAATGAATTTGACGTCTTATTTTACAATTGACATTCATCTGTCGTGTATTATTGTCATATAGTTTTGGCAGTCTGTATTTGAGAAGCTGAGAACTGCAATAGCCATCTTGGTGCAGGTTCCCATAGATTAGTACCAGGGAAGTGTGTAAAATGAATCTAGCGGTCTCTAGTTTCCTCATATTTCTTATATTCCCTCTTTGAGAATTTCAGAGCTATAGCTATGCTGTTGTAAATTTGTATGATTCTAAAATACCCTTTAATTTCTGAATCTGTTCTGTGAGGAGTGACGCTAAACATAGTGACTCTTAAATGGGCACATGAGAGCTTATTTACGAAGAATCCAGATGAACTTTGTCCTAGATGTCAGTCACACAACAAAATTAGGTGTCGTGTGTGTGTGTGTGTGTGTGTGTGTGTGTGTGTGTGTGTGTGTGTGTGTGTGTGTGTGTGTGTGTGTGTGGTACTAAGGGAGGAGGAAAGTTTGAGTTTAGTGGAAGATTTACTGAAGATGTGCAGTATTAACACAGTTGTTCATCTTAGGGTCAATGAGATGTCGATTTTATGAATACTTAAAATTAAAACTAATTCTTAAGCAGAATTATACTTGAAGTGCAACAGGAGCAGTATTTATTTGGAGGGACTTTTTCTTGACAGACTTTCTTGCTAAAAGCAAGTAACTAACATGCTTAGCTTCATAATAGTATTGTGGGTTCCAACACGCTAGCCACTAGGTACGTGGCTATTCAGTCAGTTGTTGGCTTGGACAATGTGGCTATTTGATTGAGTGTGGTTAGTTTGCTATAGTAGTAGCCATTGTAGTGGTACTGCTTCAGAACTGGTTGGACACAATGGTTATAGTAGGAAGCTGTGAAGAAATGTATCTTATAGGGCTATCGTGACTGTGTAACCACAGATGTCCTTACTAAAACTAGTCCTGGGACGTTTCAGTTAGAAATCGACTTTACTATTTAGAAGGATTTCTTAATTTTTGTTTAGTGGTGAAAGACGCCATAGTGGCCCTCTCAGATGGGGTTTGCTGATTGAGTTAATTAGAATCAGGATTTTACTTCAGATTTAAGACCGCAGGAATGGAGGTAAAAGAATCGGTGTATATATGTCATAACTAGGCTAATGCTCTTAAAAATTTAATGAGCTAAGACATTTAAACTGGTTACAGTAATCAGAGAACCCTTCACATTTTCTCAGGGGGAATCTTTCTGTGTTCCTCAGCCTGCCACTACTTTTCCAGGAAGCCTCTTTGCTATATTCTGGACTATGGTTTTTCCAGAAGCCCTATGTCAATTAGACCAATGTTCCCTCTATTTTTTCCATTCAGGTGAGAAGTAAATTGTCATGTGAATAGAGGCATAAGTGGATGTGTGCCACCAGTAGAAACACATGTTGCTGGCTAGGGATAATCTGTTAATCAACTGGGCACGTTTGACTCTCCTGCGTGACCAACCAAATGCTCATTTTAGACTGAACACTGAATTATACCAGCTTAGATGGTAGAGATTTTTGGAAAATTAAATTGTACATATTTTTTTGCAGAAATGTTCTAGTTTGAGCATTAAAAAAAGCTGGGAATTCTTAAGTTTTCATGAGTTTTTTTGGTTATTTAGAAAAAAAGGTTATTTTTATTTTTTAAAAAGGTCAATTAGCTTGATTAAAATTCTTTGATATACTTGACATAACAGAATAAAATAGACCTTTTTTTCAGCCCTATACTTTTCCATCTGTGGTGCTCAACAAGCAAACTTAAATCTTCCCCAACTTCAGGACTTCCAGTAAACACCTGAAAATAAATAAAAATGTGATATTTTGGTGTTTTGTTAAGAAGCATATTTTTGGCACTGTCATATGACATTAATCAATGTTATAAGACATTGTATGTTATTCATTGACATGAAGAGCTGCTAGAAAATCATTTCTTTTAAAAAACTCTACTCCAAATCATCTATATATTTGGGAGAGTTTGTGAGTGAGCGAGTCTGTCAGTTCATCTGCCTGTTGCTTCAAGAACTCCTCCTAAATCAGTATTTCTTAAACTTTTTAAGACCGAGGAACACCAAGCAATATTTTTTTAGCGAGAAACACCAAGGATTTTTTTGTTGGGGGGGTTGAGAAGAAAAAAAAAGGTGGGGGGGGAAGGTCGGGGGGAGGGAAGTTATTGAGGAAAAAAAGGGTTGGGGGGAAGTTGAGCCAAAAAAAAAAGTCACCTTTAAGGGTGGCCATTTTGAATTCTGTTGTTCTCCGCGGCACACCTCCAACTGCCTCACGGCACTCTGGTGTGCCATGGAACACAGTTTAAGAAACACTGTCCTAAATGGTAAGAGCTAGGACCACAAAATTTGATTTGCAGCTTTATGTTGTCATAGCTTAAAAAGCAAGGTAAGGGCTTTGTTGTTCCAGGACAATGTAATGTGCCTGGAATGCAATCGTTTTTCATAAATTGGGAAGGGAAGGGGATGCTAGCAGGGACATTGATATCGTGTCATGGCCACAGAGGGTGTGTCTAGACTACAGGGTTTTGTCGACAAAAGTGGACTTTTGTTGACAAAACTATACCTGCGTCCACACTGCCTTTGAGTTATGTCGACATAACATCAACAAAACTCAGCAGTTTTGTCGACGCTGGTAAACCTCATTCTACGAGGAATAACGCCTTTTGTTGACGGAGTTCTGTCGATAGAAGGCATTATTGCATCTAAACTGTCCTTTGTGTCCACACTGTTATGTCGACAAAGAGGCTTGCTTTGTTGACAGAACTGAATGTAGTCTAAACGCTCTTTGTCGACAGAAGTTTTGTCGACATTATCTGTCGACAAAACTTCTGTCGACAAAAGCCTGTAGTCTAGACGTACTCAGAGAGACAGCAAGCAGCCAGAGGTAAGAGACTGAAACAGCTATAATGTCTTCGGGGTGGCTGGGGTACAGGTAAGCATCCTGCTCACTGCCTGGGGAAGTGAGTTGCCCTTTTGTGGCTAGCCCCTGGGAACCACCTGCTACCCAATGGCTCTGTGGCTAGCCCTAGGCACTCTGGCCCCTGCCAGCTCCTCCACCCCTCACCCCACTCCACTTCTTTCCCTGAGCCCGTGTCACCCTGAACCCTGACTATAGTACCCCTCAGCCCCTGCTTTCAGCCTCTCCTCACCCCCATCTAAGTCTTGCACCCCCACACAAACACCCAGTCTTCTACCCTGATCCCTTCTTCACTCCAACCCTTACGCCAGCATCACCACCCCAAACTACCCCCTATTGTGAGCCCTCCACATCTTCTAGCCGCTGCCCTGAAAGACCCGAGTAACACCAGGTAAATCTGCTACTAAAATATAATTTAAATACAAACTCAGTTAATAAAACTAATAGATGTCTAGGACCGAGCTGAGTTTACACAATCTGACTGCCACTTAGTTAATGTCCGTAAACCTGAGAGGTTTTGTGTTCATATACCAATTTTCTGTTTTAAAAACGGATTCCTTTTCTATTGCCTGAGTTTGCCACTGGAACCTGTGTTTTGTTGTTCTTGTGGGTTTTCAAGGTGGATTGAGTTAAATCAAGGCAATTTTAAAAATTGACTTAAATCACAATGTAAATCACCAAAAAAGTTCATTTATTTAATTCAAATTACCAAAAAAGCTAAGATTGACTATGCTTGGAATGAACTTAATTTTGGAGTAAGTCTTGTGGAACTCACTGACGCTTGTGGTTTTTGAGAAAACAAGTACAGAATGGGGTTCCCTAGAAAAAGCCTGCCTGGTGCGAAGGTTGTGGATCTCTCGAGGCATCTAGATAGACTTGTGTAGTGCTGGGGAGGAGCCGGTGGTCGTGGTACATGTTGGTACCAATGACATAGGGAAGGGTAAAAGAGATGTCCTGGAGGCTAAATTTAGGCTGCTAGGAAAGAGACTGAAATCCAGGACCTCTATGGTGGCATTCTCGGAAATGCTTCCAGTTCCACGCGCAGGGCCAGGTAGTCAGGCAGAGCTTCAGAGTCTCAGTGCGTGGATGAGACGATGGTGTAGGGAGGAGGGGTTTAGATTTATTAGGAACTGGGGACACTTCTGGGAGAGGGGGAGCCTATACAGGAAGGATGGGCTCCACCTAAACCAGGGTGGAACCAGACTGCTGGCACTAAACATTAAAAAGCCCGTAGAACAGTTTTTAAACTAAGAGATGGGGGAAAGCCGATTGGTGCGGAGATGCACGTAAATCGGAGGGAGACTTCTCTTAGAGGAGAATCCATTGATACAGATTCTCTAATGCTGTAGTCAGAAAGAGAGGAGGGGAGAGGACAAACCATGGGCCAGAGCAGACAAACAACCGCATTCTAAGGAATCCAATGCATCAGGCTGAAACCTGGTGGA